ACGAATCGCTGGCAATATAAAAGACAATTTTGTTCCTAATGTGGAGGATTGGGCCTTTGTGACAGTCCCTATAAAGAGCTTTAGCGTCCCCCTCAGTGAGTCCCCTGTCCCAAAGCCTCACTGCCACCTCTTCATACATATACATGGCTTTTAAAGCGGTGCTTCATGAATACTATCAAGGACTCAGCCTCTGATAGTATTGTCTGTGTTCCAACGTGAGTGTGTTTCAGAAAGTGTGGTAATTTTTTTTTTCATCATAAATGCTATTACTGGCTGCATGTATTCAGTTCTTCTGCATGTATTCAGTTCTTCTGCATGATCATCGCCACGCTCCTTCGTCTTCATGCAGCCCTTGTATTAACCAATCAGGCTTTGAGTTCATCATCCTCAGCTGTGGTGTATTTTCTACAGGTTGCTCCACTGGAAGCTTTGCGCCTAATGGGTTTCTCCCTAGTGGGAATGTGCGCTTAAAGAAAAGCTTTAATAGGGTTAACCTCAGTATTGTGTGTGTTTTACTGTGTGTACATTTGTGTCTGTAGGTCTTTTAATCTTTGTGTCTGTCCATGAGGGTGCAATCTTTTAATGTAACTGTTTATTAGAGGGAAAGCCTGAGGGCAAACATCTCGTTCTCACACGCACGCACACACGCACGCACGCGCCCTTTAATGAAATGTTAGCTGCTGCAGAGTTTGGTAGTAGGCCTGTGTGTCTCGGTTGTGCGTCTTCATCAGTAGTGACTTGATAGTGTGCATCTTCAAGGGGAATTAGCCGTGTTACACTGCAGCTGCAAGGCTTCTCTTTATTCCGCTTTTTGTAGCTGAGCTGGAGCACTAGTCGCAAGCATAATCTCTCTGTCTCTCGGTGTGTGTGTGTGTGTGTGTGTGTGTGTGTGTGTGTGTGTGTGTGTGTGTGTGGTGTGCACCTGTGGTAGTGTGTCATGAGCATATGTGTGTACCTCTACCTGCTGTCACTCTTCACAGTTGAGCATATTGTCGAATCATCTAATGTGTCACTCTTCACAGTGGAGCATGCTCCGGTCTCTGTCACTCTTCACAGTGGAGCATGCTCCGGTCTCTGTCACTCTTCCTGGGAGCCATCTCCTCTCGGTTAGTTTGTCAATCAGTGTGTTAATTACACCACAGTAGGAGGGTTACTTTAGGGCGCATTTTAACACAGCAGCTTTAAAATGTATACTTTAATAGTGAACGTTTAAAAAAAGGAAACCGTGTTAACATTTTTAAAACCAATGACGAGTCCAGACAAACACAGGGCAGACAGCTAACTGAACAGTTGTTACTCAAAGATGGATCTTACTGAGAGCTTTTGTACATTGATGTGTGTTTTGGATTCCAGCATTCCTCCACCTGCCTGTTGGTTGTTGCTCAAATGGTACATACAGTAACTATGAATTGAATGTTGACACTATTTGATGTTTCTTTCATCTGAAATTCTTTTCACGCCACGGAAAAATCTGAGTTGCGGCTTTAAGAGTCAGAACGGCTATTTCAGATGACAAGCTTTCTGTAGACCGACTTGTAAAGGCAGCACTCCACACTGTGTGAAAGGGGTCCTTCAAAAACATAATCTACAGTAAATACTGCCACTGTAGACCCTTTTATATCATTGTGTATGTTTACTTTGATCATCAAATGCTGCTCCTCCAAATCCTTTTCCTGACCGTTGACTGATTTTCAATAGACTGTATAGTATGTTGGATTTTGTGACTAACTATATAAGTCCATAGTATTTTACTTGATTTAACATCTGTCCTCCAGCCTCGGTGTCCAGATATGCTGTTTGTGAATATATTTAAAGCATTACTAGTGAAACCTTGACTGCTGCTGCTGCTGCTATTAAGATTTACCATGAGTGTCCAGCAGCAGAGGGTTTCCCAAAGACACAGCTTTAACAGCAGCTTGATGTGATGTTGTGAAAATAACAACTTTATGACAGGACTGAACTTGTGATTTTTGAATAATTGGACCCTCACTGGTGAAAGACGTGATGATGACAGTGAGTGGATTGCTACCGGGGCCGCACTGTGACTGGAGCAGTGAGGAGGGTGGCAGCATGTGACGAAGGAGGCCGCGCTCTCTGACACTTTTTGCTCTAACGCTGTCTAAAATGTGACTCCAGGTGATGCGCGGTGCTAATTAAAATTGATTACATAACCCTGCTGGTTCTGTGCCCTTCAGTAATAGTTCTCCTCTCTCAGCACTCTTGTTCATTTATTCTCTCCAGTTCTAACAGCTTTTGGTGTATTCTCGTCCTTCCTCCTTTTTCATTCGATGCTTAACTCCTCCATTTGTGACGTGCCAGTTGGCGACGCATCTGAAAATGATGGTTAGACTATTTCCATTTATTACAGTTACACAGCGTGCGTTCACATCCAACGCTCAGCCACAGACGGGCTCAAGGATTTCTCAGCATGACCTTATTAAAAGAAGTCATCATCATTGGAGAAAAAGAGCTAAGTACCTGTGGAGAAAATGACACCACTGCTAATGAGGACACTCACAATGAGTTCCTCAATGAGCATTAGGGATCGAGATGGAGAAGAAATCAAATGGGGAAAAAAAGTCTAAAAAGAAAGGACAAAGGGAGAACAGGTGGGATTGATTTGGTCGAGCCGGGCTGCAGGCTGAAGAGTGCTCTGAAGCTGTGTCTCTGACAAACGAAGCACAGATGTCTATACATCAGCTCCTCGTTCTCCTTGACCACCTATATCTCTGAGCCCTTCTGTCAACGTCTCAACCAATAGAGATGCAGGAAACATTTTCCCTGCAAGACTTCTTTATAGCTTTATTTCTCACTCTCTCCGCCTGTCTTCTCCTAGTAGTTGAGTTCACATCCTCTCATCGCTCTGCAGGATCCTTAGGTTTATGCTTGGAGTTTTGATTTATGTTTCTGTGTGTGTATGCGAGCAGCTGATAGTGTGTTTATGTTGTGTATGTGTGTGCTCTGTGCATATACGTGTGTTTCTCTACCTGCCCAGGCTTGGGATTAAACGTCAGTCTCGTAGATTGATGTTCTCTCTGATAGAACGCCACTACAGGAGTGAATCTATTGCAGCTCACAGGTGGGACAAGAAAGACACACTTCAGAGAAACATATCGAATATCCAGTTTAGATGTAGAAGTCGATGCGGCAAAGGCTCAAGTGCAGGAGTTTTAGTAGATACATTGTCATATTCTTTCAGCATTTACCTCACAAGCATAGAGATGTGTTGACTGATATTAAACATAGGATGGGCTTCTCTGAGATAGTATCAGCAGAAAAGGAGGTTAAATGCTTCTTTTTCCATGCAGGGGTCACACGCTGGTAATATGCTGTGAGTGGCTGGCAAGGTGCCAAGCAGAAAGGGCACACTTTCAACGGTGTGTGTGTGTGTGGACATATGAGTGAGTGTATGTACCTGTGAAACAAAGTGTGTGCAAGTGTATGAAGATCGAGTGATTCATGGTGGAGGCCAGGGAAGGATGTACCTCTGCAGTTCTGGCATTCATCCATTACTTCAGAGCATTTATATCAGACTCTCCTCTGTGGGTGACCTCCCTAATGTCTGTGTGTATGAGCACTTCTGTATGACTCAACTACTGTTTATGCAGATATGTCGGGTGTAACAGTATCTGCTAATGGGGAGGAAATAGTGCTAAAACAAAGACATGTACTTAGGCCTGTCACGATAATTAATTTTGTTGGACGATACATTTTCCCGGAAATTATTGCGATAAACGATAATATTGTCGGCACCGTTGTAAGACCATTTTAGACCACTGACATAATGATAATATATAATAATAATAATTCAAGTACATCCTTTTGTATTGAACATTCAACTTTGCAAATGAAATGTGAAATAATATATAAATTATATATAATAAATAAAACAAATACATTTAATTATAACAAATTAATTAAAATCACACACAACCAAAACAATCAATTACATAGAACAGAGCGCTCTCTCTCATATATATATAAATAAATATGAGCACACATTGTCTCACAAGCAAAAAAACCCTCCTTAAAACAACAGTCAAGTGTACAGTCCACTGTCAGACCCAGATGCCTCAACAGGCCATATCCAAATCTGTTTTTCAAAGTTTTCGAGCAAGGAACACCAACATGTTTGCATTGTCGGGCAAATGCATCTTTGATTGTAAACTGTCGGGACGGTGGGGGCTCTCCAGCTGCCGTGTTTGCTCCCAGCTAGGAACACGGAAATGGGTAGGTTGTGTTTCAGGTGCAGTTTAAGGTTGGTCGTATTGCTAGCTTTTGTTGCTACCTTTTTAAAACAAATGCGACACACCGCCCGGCTCATTCAAATCCGTAAATTCGCCTCGTTGATTTGGCTTAAATCCTAAATATTCCCACACCGGAGATGTGGTATTAGGTTTTGCAACCACTTCTATTTAACTTCAAATTCCCCTCGAGTAAGTCACACGTTGTCTCCTGCTTGTCTCTATATTATTTGGCTGCTGCACGCGGAGTGTCCTGACCTGGCTGTGTCATGGGCTGTGTGTGAGCCCCGCCCCTCACAGCGCGCCTGGCCGGCAGACACAGCATGCCTGGCTAAAATGCTGGTCACATCCTTATGTAAACAAACACGCATGTAAACGGCAATTTATCGAGCTCAGAAAAGTTATCGAGTCCATTTTTATTTATCGTACGATAAGTAAATGTATTGATTATCGCGAAAGGCCTACTAAACTGTTTGTTAATCCAACAACCATGAGTCATTTACCAGGGATATACTTTTTGCAGCTTCTAAACGTGAGGATTTGCTTATTTTCTTTTAGTTTATTTCACTGTTCATACAATCTCTTTAATTTAGACTGACAGCCCAAAGAAGGAGTTTGAAGATATTATTTTAGGCTCTGGGAGATTGTAATGACCATTGTTAGCAGGTTATTTGATCAAATGTATTGTTATTCGACAAAGCCAAATATCTAAATATCTGAACATCTCTTTTTTCTTCCCTGCTCTCCTTGGAACAGCTGTAAGAGGTAAGTACCTTTTCACTATTTCCATCCCCACCGTTGTACGCTGTGAATGATGCTGAGCAGGCTCTCTTTATGTAGCAGTATGGGTGAATGACACGAAAAGAGCCCGGAGAACTATTATACGGCCTCTCTTTACTGTTTTTTCCCTTAAATGATGGTTTAAGATCCCGAATGGCTCTCAATCCTTCTTGTGGGATTTTATGGTAGCAGACAACATTTACAGTGTGTTTTCAGCACGCCCACAAGAGTCCTGAAGTCATACTAGATTTGTCATTTCTGCACTGAAAAGACCGGCATGGTACATTTACAGGCATTAAATCAGAACTAGTAAGTCTTCACAAAGTCCCATATTGTCCGCAGTAGCGTGGCGTGGGGAAAAAAATAGGGGAAGCCAATAATACGTCCTTTCTTTTGGGTCGGGGGGGTGTGGTGGTCAATATAATAACGTAACCATGTTACAGCATCCCGGTATCATTTTACACACATTTGTATCATACAGATGCAGGACTTACACACGGCTGTTATCTAACCGACATGTCCGCACGCACTCTCCAGCCCAAACTCTAATAAGCATTCATTCACAAACTAAATCAGGAGACCTTTAACGTTTTACGTCCGATTCGCTCCTTTTTTCCTCGCTGTACACAGCTCCAGTTTGGGCATCGGCCTGTCATCAGATTGTATTTGTTGTTGCTGCTGTAGCGGAAGTTTAGTACAATTATTTTTGAGTAAATACTCCAAATCTCCACCCTCCATAATTGCACTTGCTTCAGTTGCTTGCTACTTTTGAATGGCGGTGAGAGTGGTGCAGTGACGCTATCTATCTTCTATCGATTAGATTTATGATTAGAAAATTATAAAAGTAGGGTAGACATGTGGATATTATCCGACTGAACACAACGTGCATTTATTTAACAGGTTCGTTTTCCACTGACCTTATTTCGAGCTATTTTCCAAAATCCTATGGAGAAATCCTGTGTCGAGGGAACCCGAGCGCAGCTTACTTCCGGGTTTTAGGACGCGTCACTGCAACACTAAATTGATGCGATTTGATTTGATTGTGAGGCAAGGGAAGCCGGCCGCCTCTTGCTTACCTTGGCATGGCCCTGACTAATCACAGGTTGGCAGGGGCATCACGTGAGCCTCATCTGATTGGTCAATCTCTCCATTTTTTTTCACCAAGGGAAGCCAATTTCGGCTGGCCTCCTCTCGCAACAGTGAGTGCAATCTACTGTTTCACCATAACATCTAGAGGGGCGCTGTTTCACTCTTTGTAAAATACTCAATGAGAATGGGGGAGAGACGGGCCGGCAGCAACACACAACAAAGAATTTCCGAAACTAAACTAAGTGTTTTTATTTATTTATTAAAATTATAACTACACTCCGAAAAAACAGGGGAAGACTGGCTTCCCTTGGCCTCCAGGAGAACACGCCACTGATTGTCCGGACTCTCAAGTCTATACATGAGCCTATCTGGCCTCTACAAATCCCCCAAAAGTGGAAACGTTCTTAGCGAGCTGCAGCAGAGGAGCTGTCCTTGGTGCTGAACTCACAGGAGATTTAAGAGCTGGAATTCGCCGCCTCTGCTTAAGTGTTCTGCTGCAACACCGGGTAATAACTGTGCTGTTTGGGACACATGATTGTATCTAAGACATTTTGAGAAGTCGTGCTTTTATGTCGAGTAGACAGTTTGTGGCAGAACTCAGGAGAGGAAAATGTGTTGTTTCACATTGTAGGTTTTTTTGTGGCACTCCGACTCCAGTTAAGCCCTGAGCCTGTTTTTCAGGTTTCAGGCTCGAAAATGCCACTAACACAACAAATGATATATCTTCACTTCTAAAAGGGGTAAATTAATAATTATTTTTTCTCAAAGCAAGGTTACATCTGTGAGTTGGATGTAGAAGTGTCAGAATCAATATAGATGTTTTTTATTTTAAAGTAAATTCAGATGGAACATAGTAAAAACATGTCAATTCTAATGTCCACCTAAAAAAAAAACTTTACTTATAGTGAAAACCACCCTTGCATGATGGGTTAGTAGACTAAAAGCTTTAGGAATCCAAACTATAACATATAATAAGTACCCTGTATCAAGATTGATGCAAAACAAGTGAAATTTGACCTTTTTAGAGAGATTTAGACAAATAAAGTCTAAGCGGACTCACCTCTGGGTAATTTAGGAACCATCGGTTCCATTTGAACTTTTTCACTGTAAAAATCATTTTATTACTTTGAATTATCACTATAGGTATTCATTCCATCCAAATACAACTGTTGTGAAAAAATAAATAAATAAAATAAAATAAAACATAGGCCTACTCTTACAGTGAGCCTCTGAATTAGCCCCGAGCGAAAAATGCGAACCTATTACTGCACCGAAAATCACTCCTCGCTCCCTTATTACTTATCCTAGCTGCACATCCAACACATTGTTTATGATCGCAAGGAGACACAGAATCTAACGGTGCCCACCTCAACACTGAAATAAACTCGCGACGTTATCAACAAAAACGTACATCAAAACAAATGGCGCTAGCGCTAATGCGCTAGGCTAACAATGACTTACCTTCCTCGTTGTCTGGTCTAAACTGGTCTTCAATGGCATTAAAACGATAAAAACGATGATGTAGTTAATCCATAGATTAATATCCAATGGGGCTGTGTCCCCTTTGAAATGTTCTGATAATCTATAAGCAATAAAACTGCAATTCCGTTATCTGCTGTCCGCTCTGTGCTCCGTGCGCTCTGGGTCCTGCTGCATTTCCTGCTTCGTTACGTTGTAAACAATAAATGAAGTCGGCTGCGTAATGTACTTAAGCTGGCTGGCATTCTTTATACTTTACGCAGGACCATATCTCTGGAACCCATTGGTCGATTCGTGTGATTTACACCTTTTTCTTAACCATCAGAACCAATAGAATCGATGGGCAGTTCCCAAATCTACGTAAACGTTACCATAGCGGACGTAATAGAGAAGCAAACGAAGCATATCTGAAAGTGCAAGCCTGGACGGCAATACTTTATACCGAGTATATTGCCATAAATATGATGATTGATTATCAGTAAAAAATTATACGTGACACAAAGACATTGGATTAACCTTGAGATGCGTTTTTATTCCGTTGAACACAACTTGTGATCACAAATCAAAAAAGGTAAGACGTAATTATTGTAATATTTTTGGAACCGGATGTTGTTTACTTTCTCTTTTCTGGCTGATAGCTCCAGGAATTCGAGGTCTTACAGTGATGACATTACATGTGTGGAATCTGTGGAGTCTCAGCTTTAAATTGTATATCTTGTTTGTGCAGTTAAGATAGTAATAAGGGCATTTATACCGTGTGTTGTGTGTAAAAAAGCGTTAGCATTAGTTAGCATTTTTTCGCTCAATGCTAATTCAAAGGCATGGTATTACTCTTGTGTTTTTTTTAGCTAACAATTGTTCTTATTGTCAGTTAGTGGAGTTTCTTACCTTTAAAAGGGTATGAAACATTAATAGTTTCATAAATGTTAAGAAGCCCTAAGACATGTGAGAGAAAAAAAACTGTGGGAGGGGTCCACTGGGGGGACCTTCGGGCTTAACTGGTTAAGTCTTTCTCGCTCGTACACTTTTTCCTCCACAGTCTCTGCATGCACTTTTTCTCCCTCGTTCTGAAGCTTTCATCGTGAGTGTTTGCTGGATCCAAATAGTGGAAAAACAATCAATAGTGGTTCAACATTTTGATGATTTCTTCATGCACTTACACTTGGGAAATATCCATCAAACACACTGACTGCATTACATAAATATAAGGGCCCATTTGGTCCTCCGCCTTAATGAATACTTTAAGGCAGAGCTACAGATCCAATCCTGTGTGTCTGTGAGGAATGAAGTATTAGTTGATCTGACTCTGGCTGTGGATATTTGGAAATCTGATTGATTTGGCTCAGTCTACAGGATAGCAGTGAATGTGGCAGCATTGCATCATGGTGCTGCTGTCTGACAAAAAACCCATACCTCCTGTGCTGATGTTTTATCGTTCCTGACTGAGATTGAATTTTGCTTTTCTGAGCGCTGTTGTTTTTTCCCTGGTTTTTTTATGACCAAAAGGGCCCTCAGGGACCCATTACAAATCCGTTGTGTAGTTTAAAAAATGCCCAGGCATCAACAGGAATATCTGACAGTATGTGAATCAGTTCCTTACAAACACATACATTCCTGCAGTGCAAGTCTTGAGTCTGACAGCATCACTAGGTGCGAGTACGGAGTGTGTGTAAACAGATGGTGGAGAGCGGAGATGGCAGAAGGCTCAGAACTCTCTTCACTTCCCGCTCGGCTCTCTCCATGCACCGGAATATTAGCTCACATCACACTGAGATGGGCCTCAAGCAACATCTTTCCTGCTGGTGTGCATTCCTCAAAAAAGCACAAACAAACACCATCTCTCTTCTTATACACACAGTCTCCTCTCCATTGAAAAGGATGTCTACCAGATGTGTATATGGTGTTGTCCATCTGCCTATTTTCTTGTGTGTGTACAGTACATGAGTGCATGTGTTTCTCAGCTGTAAAAGACACACTCATTAGATGTACATTCTGAGGTAAACTAATTAACAGCCTCGTTAAGACTCAAGCAGCTCTCCTGCTGAGGTTGAGGAACAGTCAGACCAACACACACACACACCCACACACCCACACACACCACACACACACACACACACACACACACACACACACACACACACACACACACACACACACACACACACACACACACCACACACACACACACACACACACACACACACACACACAATTACAGGCCTCTCTCATCTTTTTAAGTGGGAGAACTTGCACAATTGGTGGCTGACTAAATACTTTTTTGCCCCACTGTATATATATATATATATATATATATTACACTCTTCCCTCTAGATACAGGCGGCATGAAGGAAACTATTATATTTCAACAATGAGAAAGAATAGAGAGAAAATCAGAGAGAGGACAAGCAGATTTCATT